TAAACCTTGGGGTACCCCACTAATAACACTGAACCCTGGGGTCCCCCACTAATAACAATAATAACACTGAACCTTGGGGGACACCACTAATAACACTGAACCTTGGGGTCCCCCATTAATAACACTGAACCCTGGGGTCCCCCACTAATAACACTGAACCTTGGGGTACACCACTAATAACACTGAACCTTGGGGTCCCCCACTAATAACACTGAACCTTGGGGTCCCCCACTAATAACACTGAGCCTTGGGGTCCCCCACTAATAACACTGAACCTTGGGGTAGCCCACTAATAACACTGAACCCTGGGGGTACCCCGCTAACACCCCTAGACCATTCAGTTAGAGGGATGACACCAACCACTTCCCACTGGCAGGGGCGCTTACAATGATCAGCTTTTATTTATGGTGGAAAACCTTTATTCTGAAAAGGAAGAAAACTGTAACAGATTATAAAGTGTGAGCTGGAGTTCGTCTTCCATGTGTTAGTGTATGTAAATCTGCTAATCCATCTAACACTCCCCCCTCCCAGATTGACCCTCCTGTGCTCCTTCCTCCAGAGTGGGGGCGCTCTAATACAGGTGGTGTGTCACCAGGTGAAAAAAGACTAAAAAAAAGAAAACGAATGCGGCCGCCACATAGAATGATCAGTAAGCTGCGATGGAGAACGTTTGGTAATAGAAGGGCAGACACATGGGGGAGGGGGGACCTAGGCTGAACATTCACATCCCGTTTATGCCCCCCCACCCCCAAAGTTGGTGGCGGAGTTGCCCTTTATAAAGGGAAGGCGTCTCTGAGCAGCTGCAGCGGCACACGCGGGGTGAATGCCAACCCACACGCCAGCTTTTGTCTGCCTGAGCGACCCCCCCTGATGAGTCAGCACTCTGGGCCCTGGAGGCCATTGTCTCCAGACAAAGCATCCATGTTCCCCGATGGCAGATGTCCCTGTGTGCCCCCCCCATCATGGAAGTGCAGCCTTGGCATTAAATCCGCCCCCTCCTCCCCCCCTCCGCAGGATCATTACATCAGCAAAAACATGTTTGTTGTACTTGCTCGGCACTTCATACCATACCAGCGGGCAAGGGGGGGCCACCCCCTGCACCCCTCCCCCTGCACCCCCCCATCGCTGTCTCTGCCAGACATTTCACTTCCAAATTACAACTCATTTCTAGCATTCCTTCCACTATATTTGTGACGCCTTCCAGCTGCGCATGCCGGTTCAGGGACCTCCTACCCTGGACCCCCCACCCCTACCCCGGACCCCCACCCCTACCCCGGACCCCAACCCCGGACCCCCACCCCAAACCCGACCCCAATCCTGGACCCCCACCCCAACCCCAGACCCCTCACCCCAATCCCGACCCCCACCCCAACCCCGGACCCCCACCCCTACCCCAGACCCCCGACCCCTACCCCGTACCCCAAACCCGACCCCAATCCTGGACCCCCACCCCAACCCCAGACCCCCGACCCCTACCCCGTACCCCAATCCTGGACCCCCACCCCAGACCCCCCACCCCTACCCCCACCCCCAACCCCGGACCCCCACCCTCGGCACTGCACCATAACCATTTCATGACTGCCGGATTAAAGCCAAACTCCGGCCTCCAGGTGTACCGGCTCCTCCCCGTCAGTCTTGCACAGGTGTACCGGCTCCTCCCCTTCAGTCTTGCACAGGTGTAGCGGCTCCTCCCCTTCAGTCTTGCACAGGTGTACCGGCTCCTCCCCTTCAGTCTTGCACAGGTGCACCGGCTCCTCCCCTTCAGTCTTGCACAGGTGTACCGGCTCCTCCCTTTCAGTCTTGCACAGGTGCACCGGCTCCTCCCCTTCAGTCTTGCACAGGTGTACCGGCTCCTCCCCTCCAGTCTTGCACAGGTGTACTAGCTCCTCCCCTTCAGTCTTGCACAGGTGTACTGGCTCCTCCCTTCAGTCTTGCACAGATGTACCGGCTCCTCCCCTTCAGTCTTGTACAGGTATGCTAGCTCCTCCCCTTCAGTCCTGCACAGGTGTACCGGCTCCTCCCCTTCAGTCTTACACAGGTGTACTGTTTCCTCCCCTTCAGTCTTGCACAGGTTTACTGGCTCCTCCCCTTCAATCTTGCACAGGTGTACTGGCTCCTCCCCTTCAGTCTTACACAGGTGTACTGGCTCCTCCCCTTCAGTCTTGCACAGGTTTACTGGCTCCTCCCCTTCAATCTTGCACAGGTGTACTGGCTCCTCCCCCTTCAGTCTTGCACAGAAAATGTATTGAATTTGAAGTTCTTTCAATCATGGAGGCTCAGAATCACATGTGGGCGTTACCTATGCAAATCCAGCCTACCTAGGAACGCCCACTCCTCCAGACTGACATCCATCAAGGCACCTTGATATTTGCAGAACTCCTCCCAGTGCTTGCATCAAGACTAAGGGCCCTTGAGAGGAGTAGTGACGCAGAGAGCTGTGATGTCTTCAGGAAGCCAGGTACAGCCCCATGCCGCCCCTCCCACCAGCCATGATCTGCCTGCATTATATAGAGAAGCACAGAGACCCAGTGATGACATCACAGGGTCTAAAATGAGTCATGCAAATGGAAAGGTTTATTAGCCTGTTAATGAGAGAAGCAGATTGACTCCTTCCCAGCACCGGTGCGTCCGGGAGCAGCAGCATCATGGCAGAAAAACGCTCCAAAAGGGGTGTTAACGTTAGCCGCATAAATTAATATTCCGGCCAATGAAATGAATGAACGTCGAAGCGCTGGACGCTGGTACAGGCGCCTAAACATTCGTAAAAGTGTTAGACGCGGTTAGGAGGTTTTTCTGCCAAAAAACGTTGCAGCCAGGGGAGGAGCATTCTTAAAATGTCCCGTGTGCATGAGGCCTTGATAGGATTTGTACACCCAGGGGGGCAGGAAAGATCCGTGATCATGTGAGCACTGTGATTGGCTGTCTCAGTGGGTCACATGATAGGGTGCCCGTGTCACCAGCTAGCAAGTATTGGGGACCGAGAGCTGTCTTTTTGCTGGGAGCACAGTCAGCACAGAAACCTTGGTCGCCTGGTGACGCATATGCATGGGGTGTGGACGATAAAGCCGATCTTTTCCCCAACACACACCCCAGAGCAGCGGCGGCTGCACCCCAGTTCCTGTGTTTCCCTGCCTAAGATGTGGAAATGGCTAAGCGACTCCACTCTGCAGAAAAACATAAGAACTCGGGTGCAGAAAAGCAGCAGCAGCCCCTCTGGACTGAGGAGTCACAATGCGAAATATCCGGCTGTAGCAGGAGGCAGTTTATTGGTGAAGTGCTGGAGAGCCAGACAACTGTGAAGCATGGTGGAGGTTCCATGCAAGTTTAGAGCAGCATTTCTGCCAATGGAGTTGGAGGTTTGGTTGGGATCAATAGTGTCCTCAATGCTGAGAGATCCAGGCAGATACTTCTCCATCATCCACACCATCACGGAGGCCTGTGATTGGCCCTCAATGTATCCTTCAGCAGGACAACCACCCCCAACATCCAGCCAATGTTGTCAGGAACTATCCTCAATGTGAAGAAGAAGAAGGGGCCCTGGAAGTGATGGTTTGGCCCCCACAGATCCCTGATCTCCCCACCATGGAGTCTGTCTGGGGTGACATGAGGAGATAGAAGGATTGGAGGCGGCCGACATCCACAGAAGATCTGAGATGGACAGAGAACAACCGACCTGCTGAGGTCCTTCACTGGGTGCAAGGCAAAGGGGGGGGGGGGGTCACCCCAATACTGATCACCATATATGGGAGGAGGGGGGTCACCCCAATACTGCTCACAGGATATAGGGGGTGGGGGGGTCACCCCAATACTGATCACAGGATATGGGGGGGTCACCCAAATACTGGTCACAGGATATAGGTGTGGGGGGTCACCCCAATACTGATCACAGGATATGGGGGGTCACTCCAATACTGATCACAGGATATAGGGGGTGGGGGGGTCACCCCAATACTGATCACAGGATATAGGGGGTCACCCCAATAATGATCACAGGATATAGGGGGTGGGGGGGCACCCCAATACTGATCACAGGATAAAGGGGGTCACCCCAATACTGATCACAGGATATGGGGGTCACCCAAATACTGATCACAGGATATAGGTGTGGGGGGGGGGGGTCACCCCAATACTGATCACAGGATATAGGGGGTCACCCCAATACTGATCACAGGATATAGGGGGTCACCCAGATACTGGTCACAGGATATAGGGGGTCACCCCAATACTGGTCACAGGATATAGGTGTGGGGGGTCACCCCAATACTGATCACAGGATATGGGGGGGTCACTCCAATACTGATCACAGGATATAGGGGGTGGGGGGGTCACCCCAATACTGATCACAGGATATAGGGGGTCACCCCAATAATGATCACAGGATAAAGGGGGTCACCCCAATACTGATCACAGGATATGGGGGGTCACCCAAATACTGATCACAGGATATAGGTGTGGGGGGGGGTCACCCCAATACTGATCACAGGATATAGGGGGTCACCCCAATACTGATCACAGGATATGGGGGGAGGGGTGTAACCCCAAATATTGATTTAATTTGGATTTTCTTCATTGATAATAAACTATTAACACTTCGATTTCTGGAAGACTTCTTCTTTTTACAGTATTTTCCCCACCTGCCTAAGACTTTTGCACAGCGCTGTGTGTGTAATACTCTAAGGGACGGGTCACACAACATAAAAACGCACTTTGGACGCATTCCGGATACGTTTTTGCTGACAGTTCTCACCACACGCAGTTCCGGTGCAGTTTGCTACGTTCCAGTGCGGTTCTCTGCTGCGTCTTCTACTTTTTTTCTGCACCAGAAACTGACTGGAACTGACTGCCCGTGTGAACTAGAGCCATTGGAATACATGGAGAACACTGTGCATGCATTTTTGATGCAGAAAAAAACGCACTGCACTGCAGCTGGTGTGAACTGGCCCTAAATGTCAGCTTTAGACACCCATCTTGGCACGCGCCCCAGTTCCTGTGTTGTCCCCCCATCACAGGGGACGGTCCTAAGGTGGCTACAATTGGCCACTGAAATATAGACTCGGTCCCCTGTTGTCACCCCCCCTGGAAACTGTCCGTGAGAAATGCCGCCATTCTAGGAAATGCCCCTCCAGACTCCACCCATAACTGCATCATCACCTGTCTATAGAGAACTCCTATAGGGGGGGAAGGGATTGATTCTCCGAACAATCCGCCATTATGGGGGTAATAATCCCCCCCGCAGGGTCCGGTCCAATGTCCTCGGATAGGAACGCATGAAGGGAAAATCCTCGTATGATGGCCGAAAACTCAACGCCATCATTAGCAGACTTGTACTGGGCCCTCCCCTGGGAGGAGCCAATCGGTCTGGTTGGCGATCGCAAAAACCCAACCAGAGCTCCTGAACCCCATTTCTGTCCGATAACGCCCCCCTTCACCCAGAAAATCGCTGTCATGACAAACGTTTCGCCGTTCTCATGTTTATGTTTTCGGTTTGTATCGGTGACACAAAAATGGAGAAGCAGAAAGCCGAATCTGACCCATCCCCCGCAGAACCCCAAAATGGACAGAATTATTGGCACCTTCTCCAAATTTTAGGAAATAATTGCATTCTCAGTCTGTGATGTTCCTGTAATTTGTCATTAGACTCCTCCCCATCCATGACCGGGCGCTGACAACCGAAATCACCGACAACCAGGGACAATGGGGACACATGGCCTCCACCTTCCTGTTGGTGTCTCTGTGGGCCACATGGAGGAGAGGAAGAGCAGCAAAGAATTGTCTGAGGATTGGAGGACAAAGATGGTGGAAATGATGGACAACCTCAAGGTGACAAGTCCATCTCCAGAGATCTTCATGTTCCTGTGTCCACTGTGCGCAACATTGTCAGGAAGTTTTCATCCCATGGCACTGTAGCTGATCTCCCTGGACATGGATGAGAGAGAAAAATCGATCAATGATTGCAACGAAGGATTGTTGGATGAAGAACCTCCATCAACTTCCAGACAAATCCAAGCCGACCTTCAGGCACCGGGTACTACTGTGTCCCCTCCCACTATACGTGGCCATCTGACTGAAGAGGGGCGCTATGGTATGGGAGGAGACCCAGGAGGACCCCACTGCTGACACAGAAATATGGAGGAGACCCAGGAGGACCCCTCCGCTGACACAGAAATATGGGGGGAGACCCAGGAGGACCCCACCGCTGACACAGAAATATGGGAGGAGACCCAGGAGGACCCCACTGCTGACACAGAAATATGGGAGGAGACCCAGGAGGACCCCTCCGCTGACACAGAAATATGGGGGGAGACCCAGGAGGACCCCACCGCTGACACAGAAATATGGGAGGAGACCCAGGAGGACCCCACTGCTGACACAGAAATATGGGAGGAGACCCAGGAGGACCCCACTGCTGACACAGAAATATGCTGGGAGACCCAGGAGGACCCCACTGCTGACACAGAAATATGGGAGGAGACCCAGGAGGACCCCACTGCTGACACAGACATATGGGAGGAGACCCAGGAGGACCCCACTGCTGACACAGACATATGGGAGGAGACCCAGGAGGACCCCACTGCTGACACAGAAATATGGTAGGAGACCCAGGAGGACCCCACTGCTGACACAGAAATATGGTGGGAGACCCAGGAGGACCCCATTGCTGACACAGAAATATGGTGGGAGACCCAGGAGGACCCCACCGCTGACACAGAAATATGGGAGGAGGACCCCACCGCTGACACAGAAATATGGGAGGAGACCCAGGAGGACCCCACTGCTGACACAGAAATATGGGGGAGACCAGGAGGACCCCACCGCTGACACAGAAATATGGGAGGAGACCCAGGAGGACCCCACCGCTGACACAGAAATATGGGAGGAGACCCAGGAGGACCCCACCGCTGACACAGAAATATGGGAGGAGACCCAGGAGGACCAAAGAATTCTGGGGTGCAATGTAGGGCCCGGTGTCAGGAAGTTGGGTCTCCAGTGTCAGAGGTCATGGGTCTTCCAGCAGGACAATGACCCCAAGCACACGTCACAAAGCCCCCAGAAATGGTGTCAGACAAAGTGCTGGAGAGGACTGAACTGACCAGCAATGAGTCCAGATCTCCATCCCATAGAGCTCCTGTGGAGAGATCTCAGACCAGCAGTTGGGGAAAGGAACCTTCCAATCTGAGGGACCTGGAGCAGTTGGGGAAAGGAACCTTCCAATCTGAGAGACCCGGGGCAG